GTTCGTCGCCATGCCGGCACTTGCTCCTCCCGAGGTAAATTATTTCTCTTTACAAAATGCTTTTATGTATTATATATCTTTGTAACACAATTAAAATAATATTTTTCTAGGTTACGATGGATCCAGCTATGGTTGCTCAGTACGAAGACGATTTGAGAAAAGCAGGAGAGGCTGACTTGCCCGATGATGATGACGATCTCTAGACCACAGACAGCCACAACAGTGTGTAGATGAATTTGCTCTAATCGATATTCGATTCTTTCGAATGGTCAGGCCGAATGCTAACCGGTGGCCGTGTTAATTTTGATCAATTTGTTGTCAGCGAAGTTTGTTTCATTGTTTTTACGTTTTCAGCCACGTGTATTTCTATTAATTTTTGTGCAAATTCGAATTTTTTGTTCTAGCCTGATTAGCGGTTAATGAAATAAACTTTTTGTGCATGGCTGTGATGGTCCTGATGATGGTTTGGGTGAAGTAGCTTCGGCTGTCATTTTGGGGGGGGGGGAGTCATAAGAATCGGGGCCATCTCCCAAGGTGGAGCAGCTATTGGCGAGCAGCGGATAGGCAGACTGGGGCCAGCGGTTTGACATCGCATTTCGAGATTATGTTGAGGTTGTTGGGGTCTACCCCATGGGATGAATTCTGACAGGTCCCGGCGAAACGCTCCTTTATCGAGACTTTAGTTGCGAAAGGGGGAGGGGGGAGGGAAGAAGGGCATTTCTTATCTAGTGGACTCTCAAATGTAGTACTTCCGGATAATTCGACCTCAGACGCAGATCCTGGTGCGAATGACGCGTACGCGACGTAGCTGCAACGCGACGATCGCGGTCTCGCCGTAACCCGGACCATCTGACTACCACCCATTCTTCAGAGTTCTAGCAAGTAGCTGACTGCAGGGAGCCTAGAGGAGGTGGGTAAACATTGTTCGGGGATTTCCCGTTGTACTGAAGATCTCGCCTATCTATGGTAGCCTATGAAGATGCATTTATGAGCCATAACGCCTTTTTGGGACAAAAGGCACTTTCAGCAGACAGCTGTTAAGGACTAGTGTTCACAAAATTTGTGACTTTGAGCGGAGATAGAGCAGCGATCGGAGGCATGGGAACCAAACACATCCCCATTGTTCGGATCGCGCTCCTGAAAACTGTCCATTTCGATTTTCCAGGCTCCCTTAATTGTTTGAATGATAAGAGCGTTTGCCTGAGCGTTGACGTATGACCGGGACTAATCATTTAGGCTCAACGCATTCACTTGCCACCAGTTTGGCGACGCGGGGGGGGGCATTTTGCACTTTCGCTACTTCCCATCGACGTGTCGACCTATCTAGACAGCCTCTTCTCGAGTTGACAGGTTTTAACATGATGGCTTGATGACCTTGCTCCAGCTTCACAAGAGTTCACAGGTTTCGCCAGAGTGAGACTTGTAAACCGGAACTAAGGACGCAATGATAGTACAAAATGCCTCCCCCCGTCGCCAAACACCGCCCCACCACTATTCCGACCGAAAGCCGAAAGCGTGGCGCCTCTTTGGATCCTATTAGATGATTAGCCCTTCTTCCTGGCCGTACTGAAGTCAAGCAGGACTCCTCTTTGTAAGTACCACCCTCGAGAGCACAGCTGTACAACGAAGGAAGGCTTGAGGGGCATGGCCAAAGTTCTTGTAGGACAGTTTATGTTTGAAGTGACGAAAACACACGGCGTCCACCTACTCCAGCTCCTAATATACCTGATATTGGAGCACATGGAAATATTTGGACCTCATTATTTGTGTTCATTTGAGGGGTAGCATAAGGAGAAGCATGGCTCACAGTCCCCATGAGTGATATTTACAAGGTTACGCCAGCTTCTAGGGCCCTGCCTTATCAAAGCGTTGTAGTTTATAGGGTGAAATAACTCCCCAAAACAGCTCAATATCTAGCTTGGCAGATGCACATGCACGAGATTTGTGGTCAGGATACGTACGCCTGGAGATCTCAACGGGGAGGGGTATCATCTGGTCGAGGGAGAAGGGAGAAGGCGCGTATTCGCTGTTGGGTATAAACGGAGGAATTTACGGAAATTCCAGGAAAATCTGTAGGGAGTTGGGAACACTTAGGAAGTTTGTGGGTAAAACGGGAACAAAGGGAAGAAGGGAGGACTAGAAGAGGAAATTTCTAGGTAAGGGGTCGTATGTGGCTGAAATTCTCTACGACATCGGGACCGTGCGCTGATTGTGATGACGATATAATGACTTGAATCTCATTCATCTTCTCCTGACGACGGTTCGACCTCTATCGGCGGACCTCTGGATAGAACTCGGTTTATTTCACAGCGATTGTCCATCTGATGGTAGGAAGAGCAACCAAGTGCCCAAATGCTTGACTGGTAAGGGTGTCTTTCCGTACAGGTGCCGAGGTGGTGTCACCGCTATATACTCGTTACATTGTACTATGCGGACCGCCTGCGATACCGCGTGATGGATGTCCTGGACTTCACTCACCATCTTTTCTGGGAAAATGCGAGTCGTTTCAAAAAAAAAAACAGCCAGAAATTCCGCCTAGCCGGAACCGGAATCGCACTGGTCTACAGGGCCCCTGATGTTCTCTCATTATCAATCCCTGACCGTGAGGATTACGCCTGAATAACCTTGCTTGAAACATATATTACTCACCTCAACATATACATATTAGTCACCTGAATGAACGACATTCTTTCCTGAATGTTAGGAGCCATATGTTTTTTTTTTAATTTTTCTCTCAAATATGAGAACGAGCTCTGAGAGGAGGATATGAAACGTTTTCGTTGGCGGCACGTATTACAGCGATCCTAGTCCGGTGCCATTGGAAGTTCGGTGGCTCAGTGGCATGATCTTCTGCTCGCGGTTGTGCCATGGGTGTTCAGTTTCGCCGGCTACCTGGTTTTTGCCAACCTGCCATATCACTTATCAGCCTGACTTCTCTAATTTAGAAAATTTCATATCTATCCAGCCTAAAATACGGTTCAATCAGGAGTGGGCCCCATGAGAGTACCACAACCATCGAAATTGCCCAGAACGCGGGCCGTGTTCGTCACCAATAGTTAGTGCTCGAATCACCGCGTTCGCTCGAGTCCGGCTAGCAGAGCTCCTCTCGCCAGAAGAGGTCAGTAGGAGCTCCAATGGCGACCCTAAGCCTCCTGAGCCCTTTGAGCCATGTGGGAGGTTGTGGGAGGTTGCCCGTGCCGCTTCTCCAATGGTTTGGAGACCGTGGACGTGATTTTTTGGATGAATAGCGTTCGTTCCATGAATCGCTGAAAGGCCGAGGTGGCTTGTCGGCCACCAAATCGATATTGATTCTGACGGTTAAATCTGACCCCGTTTCGACCGATTTGATGCCAGGTGAGCCAGCGGTGGGGTGGCAATGCGTCGTGGATGGCCATTTTTTGCAAAAAATAGCGAAAATTGCAACTTTGGCAAAAATTTCGCCATGGCTGGGTCCGATCCACGTCCACCTGCTTGATACCTGCCCTTCATCGCTCTGAGCCATGCCTCTCCACGCACATTAGGGTTTCGAGGGGTGTGATGAACCAACCACACCGCATGCCACACGGCGACTTGGACACCTCCATTTTCGAAGATTTTTCATGATCGAATGGTCGGCCCGCCGGCCGAGCCGCGGCGACGGCAGACTCGCACCTTCACCTTTGACGGCCGCGCGTATGCCGTATAACCCTGGGGGTGCTCTTTCTCGAGGACAACTCTTTCCAGGAGATATCCGTCTGTCCACGACTGCCATGGCCCCACGGGGTTCCGGTGCAACGCCCTCTATTCCCGGATGCCGCGGGTATCACGAGAGGAAAGAATGTGTTCAGTAAACCTCAGCTTTAGCGATCACAGCAATTCTTAGGCCAATGGCGACCATTACCTGCCACTTCCCAAGCTCACCCCTCGTTTGTTCCTACCGATGATCCACTGATTCGTATTTCACGCGGATTCAATTTTGTGTAAGGCCATCTCCAACCATCGTCCTTCGTGAAATATCATGCAGCTATAGAAGGAACACGGTCTGACAGGAAACTCATTGATTGTCACTGCTGGTCAGCGATGGGATCCTAAATGGTGTGATCAACGGCAGATGCTGAAGTTGGGTGTTCCAAACCGCAAGCACTCGCTTCTCATTGGGATACCCGAAATCACAGCCTGTCAAAGGGAGGATTGTCACTCCGTTTTGGTCAGGACGGAACGTTTTGGTCAGGACATCTCCAATGGCCCACTCGCTACTGAATCGTATCTGAAACTGGATAGTTGGGAATAGACTGTTGTGTGAAAGGAGACAGCCTAATAATTGTAATGATGGTAGGTAAGATGAGCTGCTTTGTTCGTGGCCTGGCCTAAAGCGATGGAGGGGTGGTGCCGAGCAAATGGTCGACGATCGAACCGTGGCATGGCAAAATTTTTGCCAAAACTGCAATTTTCGCTATTTTTCGTAAAAAGTATCCAACCTGGACGTACTGCCACCCAACCGCTGGCTCATCTGGCACCAAAACCGGACCTAACGTACTGCCACCCAACCGCTGGCTCATCTGGCACCAAAACCGGACCTAACGTACTGCCACCCAACCGCTGGCTCATCTGGCACCAAAACCGGACCTAAATTCACCGCTACAATCGATATCGTCCTGATGGTCGAAAGCCACCACAGCTTCTCAACGGCCCGGCAAGTAGCGGCACCCTTTTCAGTTTCAAAAATTTTTTGTTTTTAGCAATCTCCGGGCCTCCACGGTGCCACCTCTGGATATCCGTGATTGCCTGCCCGATCGGGTCCCAGCAATGCCCTACTGCCCAAGCGGGACTGGTGGGAACCATTGGCCTCGCTGAGCGTACAGCCCGTGAACCCAAGTCTCCCGAACACGGTGATTCAAGCGCCGGTCGCCAGCGCCGAACACAGCCCGTGTCCAAGGCAATTTCGAGGGGTTGGATGCTCACCTGAGGCCCACTCCTGTTTGAGTCGTATTTCAGGTTAGGAAAGATTAGAAATTTTCTGAAGTAGAGAAGTCAGACTGATAAATGATTGGGTGGCAAAAACCAAATGGACGACTGGTCCGTCCTCCTCATCGCGTAATCCTGAGCAGCCGGATCATACCACTGAGCCATCGATCTTTCATATTGACACGCCTCGGCTTGTTGATGTGTGCGCCCACGAAACTTATTGATCTCTTTCCTATTTAAGAGCAATTCTCATTTTGAG